TGGCTGGCATGTGGTGCTGGGGATTGAACCGCGGTCCCTGTGCTTTGCTTAGTTTAGCTTGTTCTAAGTAGGTACTTTAGACCACTGAGCCATCTCACCAGCCCCGTCTTACATATATTAAAGGTAGAAAACAAATACACTCTGCAGAGTGAATGTGGCTAATTAATACATTCACAACAGGGCTGTCATTTGTATGTTTTGCTGCCAGGCGGCTTGAACCACTGTGGTACGTGTATGACATCAGGCAATTATACTACTGATGGTGTAAATGGTTTTAATTACTTTATTGGTCATTTTACTAATAAAATGAATAAAAATCCACCTGGTGGGACAGTCATACTCATACCACCAGTGGTTCAAGCCAGAGAGAATGTGTTAAAAGTAGGAAAAGAATTCACTCGGTAGGGTGAGAGCAGTCTTCTCCCAAACATAACGGCCTTGAAGCAAGTTGGAATCACTGTATATATATTTTATTTATTTATTTTTCTGTATATTTTTAAAATACAAGCCGGACACTATCAGTTCGACCTACATATTGGTAAGGGGGAACATCTGGGCCTAGACAGGGAGTCTGAGCATAGTTACAAGATATAAATTTATTCTTTATTTATTTCTGTGTGTGTGTGTGTGTGTGTGTGTGTGTGTCCAGCTCAGTCCACCAGGGGGCGGGGCTGGCTGGCATGTGGTGCTGGGGGATTGAACCACCGTCCCTGTGCTTTGCTAAGCTTGTTCTAAGTAGGTGCTTTAGACCACCGAGCCATCTCACCAGCCCCCATAAATTGATTCTTAACATTTCTTACACTATTCCTATAAATCTGCTATTCTGTAGTGTGGCCTAACAGGGTGACATCTATAAAACCCCGGGACACGCCCGCCAGCCTCCAGTCTCCTGCCTCCAGCCTCCAGCCTCCTTCGCAGCCCAGAGCAGGCGGGGCTGGGAGCGACCCAGGGCGCAGGCGCGGCAGTGATTGATGGAAGACTCCGCAACAAACAGCGGAAGTCCCGCCCATCGAAGGCAAAACTTCCGGCCTAACAGTTCTGGATTTCGACTGAAGAATTGGATCCTGTTTCATCAAGATGGTGTTGCTGGAGAGCGAGCAGGTACGGCCTGACCTGGCTTTTGGAGGGACGGATGAACTTCGGGCTTTAGCTCGGAGCCCCTGTGTCCTTTTGCGGGAGGCGCTGGCCGCGGCGGGGCGAGGGTTCGTGGCTGCCTAACGGGGCCGGGCTTCTTGCGTTGCAGTTCCTGACCGAGCTGACCAGGCTCTTCCAGAAGTGCCGGACGTCGGGCAGCGTGTTCATCACCCTGAAGAAATGTAAGCGGCCGCCGCAGGGCCGGGGGAGCTGCGCGGCGCGCCGGAAGCCGGTGGTTGGCTGCCTGCGCCCCCAGGGGCGGCGCGGCGCCCGGGTTCGGGTTCAGAGCCCCGCGGGGATCCGGGACCGCAAGGCCGGCGCGGCTCCCGGCACCTGATCACCCAGACCCGACCGGCGGCGAAGAGCCCGGCGTGCGGAGGCCGTGGTCTTGTCAGGAGACGCACTGCCGCGTTTCGTGTTACGGTGTTTTCATCCGGGAACCAGTAGTGCCTCCCCCGGGCGGCCCAACCCGAAGGGGCCGCGGTTGGTGTGATGGACGGGACCAGGGCAGGGACGTGGATGCGGCCGTCGCTTTGTGTCCTCCTTTGCTGTTCAGCTGTCGTCTGCCTGTCATTAATTTGTGTGGGTGTGTTTACTGGGGTGCATTTCTCATGCAGATGATGGTCGAACCAGATCGATCCCAAAGAAGGGCTCTGTGGAGGGCTTTGAGCCTGCGGATAACAAATGTCTATTGAGAGCGACGGATGGGAAAAAGAAGATCAGCACTGTGGTGAGCTGGATTCTTTCCTTTTTCTTTTTGTGGTCCAGGGAGTTGAACACAGGGCCGCACGTGTTGCCAGACAAGCGTTTACCAGAGTTAATCGCCCTGGGATTGAACTCAGGCCCTTGCGCTTGCCAGGGAAGCGCTTATTCCATTGAGCCATCTCCCCGGCCCTTAGCCCTGGATTCTTTTTTTTTTTTTTTTTGCGGCGGAACCGGGGATTGAACTCAGGCCCTTGCCAGGCAAGCGCTTATTCTACTGAGCTATTTCTCCGGCCCCAGCTCTGGATTCTTGAGATGACATTTTGGAGTTGATATTTGCACTGAGAATAGGGCACATCTGAATAGAGTTTGTTTTTTAAAGATAAAAATTGATGTGTATTTCCCAGGCCATTTTGGGACTGGGACATTTCTTTATTATTTTAGTAATGGAAACATCAACAGTAAAATTAAAATGAAGAGGTCACTTTTTAGCCAGCGTTTCTATACAAATAAGAAGCATATTGGTTTTTACTCAGAATATGTGCTATAAGGAGGAGTTGGCATATTTCCTCACGTCCCTATTGTGCCGAGTCTTCTTAGCATCAAGCGATTTATTTATGAGACTTTTATGTTTAAGTTGATTATTCCCTTTATGGTTCTTATAGCAAGCATGTTGGGCTTGATATGTGAGAGAATATACATTTAGTCATCAGTCTCGGTGTTTCCTTTCATGGTTTGAATACAATATGACAAAGACTTACTGGGCTCTTTGTGTTACACAGGGTTGAATCCAGGGCCTTCAAACTTACCTATGTACCCAATTTTGAGACAGGATTTGGCTAAATTGCTCCAGCTGGCCTTGAATTTAAGCTCCCCAGCAGCATCCACTCTCCAAGGTGAAGATACCTCGATTCTGAACAAATATTTATTCTGGCAGGGTGGATAAATTCCTGGAGGGTACTCATTAGAATATAGATAATAATTAGTTGCTAAGTTTCCCTTTACAAGTTATCTTGAGATAGAGTCTCCCTGTGTAGTTCAGACTGGCCTTGAACTTACTACGTAGCCCAGGTTGGTCTGGTGTTTGTGGTAAGTGTACTGCAGCCTCAGTTACCTTGAAAAAATTTTTACAATAAAGCAAGCTTATGTGGTCTTTACAAATAAAGTTGGATAGCATGCAATAAAGAAAATATAGAATCTTCAGAGGTAGCTTGTATTGCTTAACAGTCTTGAGTTGCAGTGATTTTTGCACAAAAAATACTGAGAAGTCCTTTGACATCTTTCAGAGCTCAGGGAGAAAAGTCAGGGCCACCTGTATAAGGCGACCTGTTCAGTAAAGAGGAGAAAGCCAGCTTCTGCAGAGAGTCCATTCCTGCCTGCCCACAGTGGTGCACTTGCTACATGGAATAAGGCACAGAGCTACTTTGCTTGTTCCCCAGGCAGAGGGAAGTGGAACAGAACAGCGTTTAGTGCAGCTTCTAAAGTTGGGAAGTAGGGCCGGCCAGATAGCTCAGCAGACTAAAGCGCCTGTGCAGGGACTGGGGTTTGATCCCAGCATGCTGTGCTGGCCCCATCCCCAGGGTGTGCTGAGACAAGACTGAGACTGGGCATGGTGGTGCATGCCTGTAATCCCAGCACTTGGGACTCTGAAAACTGGAGGATCGTTACCAAGCTGTGTAGTGGGACCCTGTACTAAATACATTAACAACAAAAAGTTAGGAAGTATTTTAAAGATTAAAGTGGATGCTTGCTGACATGTACAGGGCCTGGATTCAATCTCTAGCATCACAAAAACAAACAAGAATAATCTAGTCTTCTAGGATACTGTCTTCACAGGGCTTTGAGATACTATCTGGGGTGGAGCAAAGAAGTGTCAAAACTTATATGAATAAATAGGCGTGATAACCTTTTTTTTCCCTTTTCCAGGTGAGCTCTAAAGAAGTGAATAAGTTTCAGATGGTGAGTACCTCCTCAGGGCAAGCGTGAGCACAGCAATGAAGTGTGATAGCACAGGGTCCTCAGTCTCCTATGATAAGTTTCACCAATTTTTTAAGATCTACCAGGCTATTAATTTCAGTAATACTATCTTTTTTAGTTTTTAGCTAAATTTTCTTGTTTCAAACTTCAGAGATGTATCACATATAGTATAGTCAAACAAGAAATTGCCTATGCTTTTCCCTTTTTGCATAGGGAAGCTGTCATGTGAGAGTGTTTTATGCTTAAGTGATTTCTAATATTAGTGTCCCGCGGTGTTAAGCCCTTTGTTGGGTATACATCTGTCTCCGGCTATAGAAGTCCATTGAGTCCATTGTGGAAACCGCATTCACCCACCATCCTGTGTCTCTTCCTGCTGAGGTTATGTCTGTGTCTTTCAGGCCTATTCAAACCTGCTGAGGGCTAACATGGATGGGCTGAAGAAGAGAGACAAGAAGAACAAGAGTAAGAAGGCCAAAACACCACAGTGAACAGCTCTGGGTTCTCTGCTCTTACCAGTTAACCAACAAATTGCCGTTTTTCCTGTTGGCCACAAAGCTAGATTTTTGGCTTCCCTGTGGCAACGATTTTCATGTAAGATGAGGGTCATTCTGGAGAGAAAAAGGTTATAGTGTACAGGGTAGTTGTGGTAAGAAACTTGCTCAGATCTGTGCTGCGTGGTTGTGTTCTTAGTTTTCAAAGGGCTCTGTAACCAGTTCCCTGAAGAGCAACTTATCATTAAACATTTGTTTCCCAGAACTGTCTTACTTGTTTTTTCTCATCCATTTTAAATGTTCTGCAGTAACCACCAATTGTGGAATGTGATTAATGAGTAGGTTTTAACTCTTCTGTTTTATTGGAATTGACTGACAGTTACTTGTCCTGTTAATTCATGGGCATTCTTCCCTCCAGGCTGTATAATTTTATTAGTTTCTTTAGCAGATGTGACTGTCTTTACAACCTAGTGCATGTTTGGTTAACCACAGTATATAATTCCCACTTAATGACACCCCCCCCCCTTTCCTCAGTATTGGGAATTGAACCTCACCTGGAGCTGCATCCCCTTCTCTTTTTTATGTGGTACCAGGGATAGAACTCGGGACCTTATGCTGGCCAGGCAGGCGCTTACACACTGAGCTATATCCCTGGCCCCCCATCTCTTTTTTTTTTTAATTTTATTTGCATTTATTTTATGCTTAATTTATTCCCGTGCCATAAGTTTTTGTTTCTTCAGTTTCTTCTGGGATATCTTTTTCTTCTGTGCAACTTCCTCTTCTGGTTTGGGAATAATTTGATCCTTTTCAGTAAGGATCATCTCAATATGGCAGGGGGAGCTCAGGTATGGATTAATCCGGCCATGAGCTCTA